TGCGTCGTCTGTCTGCCTCCTTTCTCGCTATTTGCGTAAATTTTCCTGACTGCTATTGCCAGTTGAGAAGATAAGTTTCCCCTTTCTACATCTTTTCGAAGTACTTATTAATTATTAGCCACAGGTCCATTTTTTGATGAGAGGTAGCTGATGGTTGCTGAATTTCCTTACCTCACTGGCTTTGTAAAAGGTGGGTGATCCGGATAACTGGTAGAATCCATTTCCTGTACACTTTAAAAGGTAGGAGTTAAAAACCTATTTTTTAATCGGTGGAGTTAAATTTTGTCTGTTGTAGTAGGCCGTGATTCCTTTGAAGAGGAAATAAAATAATAAACTGGGCTAGAATGCATATAGCCGATGTAAGAGAAGAAATTGGGACTTACTGAGATCTCTCCGGCACCTTCGTTGGGCAACTTCTAAATTTTCCAACTATGACATAGTTCTGAGAAAAAGCTATCACGGAGTCGAGCCTGCTAATCGCCGAATTTCACCGGACTTGGCATTTCGCATAACCAAGGACGGGTACCTGGATAGAGTTTCGCGTACACTCCTTGATGTTCTGTTCTCGCTTCGCTGCTGCCGATCATATCTGCGAATCTGGGCATTCTGATGCATTAATAATCCCGCTTTCACATTTACTTCTATAGTTTTGGGAGGGTTCTAGCCTGTTCTTATTAGGTCTTCTAACCTTTCTTGTCCCATTTCTGTTATTTTGGTGAGACAATACTGAAAATCACTGTATCATTTCTTGTCTCGTTTGTACCCTTTTGTAGGTATTTGATGATGCGGCCAAGTCGCCGATGAGCGTGGTAATTGTGGACAACATTGAGGGTCTCATTGAGTACAACCCAGTGGGGCCACGCTTCTCCAACTACATGGTTCAAGCCCTCAAAGATCTTGTCTCGCAGCCTCTGCCAGCGGTAAGTTGTGCTTACTTCTCTGAGATTGGATCAAGTCTTGCTACTTACCAGGGCTTGATCTAGGCAGTTTTGCTTCGCCTCGATGACCTTGACCCCATTAGTGAGCATTAGCGAACTCAATGTGCTCTACTCAATCAGGGTGGTGTGGCCGAGAGCACAGCGAGTCACAATGTTAAAGAATTAATTCAAAACGGAGCCCTCAAAAATTTCAATGAATAACGGAACTGGGACTTTGTATTGTCTGCAGTTACTGCTAATGTGGTGGCTGAAGGTCTTGTAGCTTAGTCAAAAGGAATGCATACTGCACGGATCAAGAACGTGGCTCATTATCAACCTGTGGAGAGGTTGGCTACACAGAACTTTGTTTCATCATTTGTGCAAGTCTGAAAGGCATCACGTAGCCCCTTGAGACAAATGTCACCTCTCTGAGCTATTGTTGTTGTGGCTACTAGGGTCGGAAGATGCTGGTACTGGCAACCACGAGTATGCGTGAGGCTATGGAGGAGCAGCAACTAACACGCGCCTTTGCTTGGCACCTTCACGTTGGCATGATGTCGACGCCAGAGCACATCCTCTCAGCTTTGGAGGAGGACCAGCGATTCACGCCCCAAGAATGTCGTGTCATTGAGCAGAGTCTCGTCCAGCGCAAGTCAGTCTACATCCTTTGCCCGCTTGATGTAATGACTCTTCTGTTTACTGTGTTTGTCGTCAGAGTATCCTGAAAATCAGAACTATCGCATGAATTCCTTAAATCAATCATAATTCTCTGTTTGAGTGCTTAATCATTTTGGTTTTGAAAACCGCATCTTGATTGCCGACTTGGAATATTAGAATTCTTTCCTCTGTTAGCAGTTTAAGCTCTAAAAGCTTGGGCGAATTATGCATCCTCTGTTTCCTCCCACCTAGACAAACCGACCCGTCGTTCAATCTCTGCGTTGGAATCAAACATCTCATAGACCTTATTGACCTTGTCACGCAGGTGGGTCCCTCGTTCATCACCGCATCAAATCTGTTGACTGTTTGAAATTATGCTTCTGAATTTCGTTTCAATTTATTCTCATAGATGGAGCCGGATCACAGGGTGTCGGAATTTCTGTCAAAGCTGGAGGACGATAATCTCGTTTAAGAGCCATCTCTATCCAATCTGTTTCCTAATTCATTCCGCTCTTCTACTTATACTTTTCAGTAGACTATTTATTTCCTGCCCGCAGACTACCTTTACAAAACAGTCAATTAACTTTATTTATCCCTTGCGACACATTCCGCTGTTGTTCTCGTGTGCAAGCAGTGGCAATAATAAAGCTTAAGCCTGGTACTGTACTGACCTTAAACCTCGCGGCAATTTCATTGGGCTTCAAGAGGAACAGTTCAGTAATGCGAGAGGGCATATGAACTTGGTGGGTTCTCGTGTGTTCTGCTATGCCAAATGGACTAGTCGATCTAGTGGCACCATGGCGCTTCCATCACTGCAGGTTGTGTGCATCAATGTTCAGAGTACGCAGTTGAAGTGGTGTCGGTGCTTTTTTTGAGTGGTCTCCGTATTACCAAATTTGGCTCCTATCCGCAATTAACTAGTTGAATGAGTTCGATGGTTCTAATCGTAAAGCTCAGCTTTGTTGACTAGTTTCGCCTTCTTCACCCACCTTTATGTACTGTCTTAGCTGTGAAAATGGTGTAAAATTGAAGAGTGGTTGAGACGTCAATGTTGTCTACCACTGACGCTTCGCTTGGTCAATTTTATTCTCAAAGGACTTACCTTATACACTGTCCACCCATTGTCGATGCGTGCTACTGAGAAGGGAAACCAAGTTGAGGTGTGTTCATCTAGTCTAATGTTGACCAATCAAATCATGAACTGTATGAACCAGTGACTTCGATGGCCCCCTCCCATCGCCTCGAGCGATGACCAATGCAAAGAAAACCTGTTACGCAGTAAATTATTTCTAATAGATTTTAAGTCTTTAATTCGGCAAATACATGATGACGAAACGAATCGTCGAAAAGGAAAAAAAGGCATAAATGTGCGCAGGTAGATAGGTAGGAGGCCAGAGATAAGTGAAGGCGACAAATCTGCTAAATGAACCGATGAGAAATGGTCGATGAGGCGGGATGAGTAGTAGAGCACGCACCACTTCAATTACCAGTAAGTTCTGCAAAGGTTTGTTCCAATTCCTCTGCAAGGGCCTTGTACTTCTCCTTCTCCGCCACAAGCTCGTCTATAGGTGAAAGAATAGCCAACTCACTAGATCATTCACATACCTTCAAAAGTTTCAATAACTGAAGAAATCGATCTACATGCACCCACCTACCCCGGGAAGAATCGATAGGCAGTGTCATTTAATACAACCCAATGAATGGTGGCATCGAGCAACCAGTTTTGAGCCGTTTCAAGACGACATGCTGCATGTAGGTGCCAAGAAGAGTTGGCCAAGCAGGGAGTCGCACATAAGCAAATCTCTTTATTGGCATAACGTATCCGAAGAGTGACGGAAGGCAAGCCAATGGGATCACAATGCGCGCATAGGGTACGTATGTGCAGCACAAAGCATGATAATGACTCGACAGAAATAAAAACGTGCTACAGAGACAAAGACTAAAACCAGGTTAGAGAGAGAGGGCAAGCGATAAAGAGAAAGGAAGCACTTCAACAGTAAGACATGCAAAAGGAGACAATAGTGTGAATCAAAGGGGACTCTCAGATGTTCTGCAACTCTGCTGCGATGTTCTCCATGTCCTCCCGCAGGCTCGCATTCATCGTCTTCTCGGCATCCAATTCAGCTGTGAGTGAACAAGAAAAGTATACCAATCAACCTCAATACTATCGTTCCAACTGTAACCACAAAAACTTGTTCAATCTATTTTTTGACATCACTAGTCGTGAGAATGCAACCTATGACCTAGAGCCAGGCTCCAACAGTGAGTTCGCGACAAATCGCACCTTAAAAACCGACACCGATTATTCAAATAACCCACTGCTTCATGACAAATCAACACACCAGTTCAGTGCCGAGTAAAAGAGACTCGTTGAATGAAAAAACAAGTCAACAAATGAATACTAAGAATATTGATATGCTACTTACTTTCAAGACGAGCAAGCTCCTCCTGCCTCTTCAGTGTCTCCGACTCGGCAATGGCGGTGCGTTTTTCAGCCTATAGGGAGATGGGAGAAAGGAAACGGCAATAGACATGCAAGCAAGCGTGCATTCGGTCTGTGGGCCACACCACACTCGTGCCGTCATTCCATTCAATCTAAATGGTTTCGTAGACAGCTTGAGGGCGTCTGTTCTCTTACCCTCCAGGCGGTCAGTCTCGCCCTGCAGAGTGTGGACAAGTCGTTCAGCATCTTGAGCCCGGTCTTCAGCCTACAGAGGGGGATAATCTATTTAAATGGGGGACTGCCACTGCCTTGTTCAGAGTCGAAATTCGGATTCATGCAGATGCAATGTCTTGTCGGTCAGCCAGCCTCCGGCGCAAGCTTTGATGGAGTTCTCTGAGTCTATTCCTAGCACA